CTTAAAGAGCCTACCACGGCTCACATATCTATCTTTCTCAACTCTATCTAATTATCATTGGAGTAAGCTCTCTTATCTTTTAATTTCCTCTGGATTATCATATTCATTATTTCAGAAATTTTTTACCATGAGCTTTTCTGAATTAAGTGTCAGAGACAGTTTCTCCAAAGCAATCATCACTGTTTATTCTATATTGTTGATATGAGACAAAGAAGAAAAGATATTTGGTTACTTACCTGTGGAGCATAAAGCCCTTGGAGTCAGAGACTGACACTGACCTTTAGTCTTCTTCATCTTTCCATCCTTACTCCCCTTCTCCAATTTCTCAGTAATCTTGTATAAATCTGACAATTTGTTTGCTAATTGCTGAATGCCCTGGCACAGAGAAATTAGGTAAAAGAAAAAAAAAAGGTTCAAGTGAGATTTTTAAAGGCCGGATTTGTCTGAACTAATTATTATATTTTGCTGTGAGTTAGACTATGCTGCTGCATTAACAGTCCCCTTATTCAGGAGTAGTTTATCAGCGCTGCCTCTCTCCGCACAGAGAATGATTACAGGTGAATCTCCACATGGGTAATTCAGACTGGAGCTCACTTATCAGACCACTTCTGTTCAAATCAGAACTAAAAATACTTTGGGGGCCCCATAAATGTTAAATAGCACAAAGAATAATAACAACTAACCTCTTCTTAGTACATGTGTTCTTGAGTACACATACTTAAAATTTACCCAATTATAATTCAAGAACATGGGATCCCTGGGTGGTGCAGCGATTTGGTGCCTGCCTTTGGCCCAGGGCGCGATCCTGGAGACCCAGGATCGAATCCCACGTCCGGCTCCCGGTGCATGGAGCCTGCTTCTCCCTCTGCCTATGTTTCTGCGCCTCTCTCTCTCTCTCTCTCTCTGACTATCATAAATAAATAAAAATTAAAAAAAATAATTCAAGAACAATTCAGTTCCCTTTATTCAGAACCATTATTCAGGCTCTTCTGGAAATGTTTTATTCAGGTTGCACATCTTTCCTCCGCAGTCTCTGATTTAGAATTCAGCTTTCTGATAAGGAGTGGAAATTTGGGTCTGAAAGAGAAAAACATCATTTTCTTAAATAATGCTACAGGCATACATTGTCTTAATCGGGAAAAAAAATGAAATCCTAAAATATTTTTTTCTAAACTGTTAAAATGCTTGAGCTTGGAAAACAGAGGGGAAAAAAACAAATTACAATAAAATTCAACTCCGTTTTTAAATATTTGTGATCACATCTGTGACATTACAGCATAATCATAGGAGTAACGTGAAAAAAAAGTCCTGAAAGCAGTTTAGTGGTGTTCTCCAGGCAAATGTGCAACCTGACTAGACATGCTTTGTGGGTATAAGTAAAAAATAGAAAAAAATCTCTTTTTTGTGTGTGATGATGATACTTGCTTTTATTGTTGTTGCTGATGATGATAACTAAAAATGCCTGATCTCAGTAGGACATCCGTGCTCAACCCTTTCCCTGGGCTGTAGTTTATTCTCCTGTTCACACCTGACGACAGTTGGGCCAGCCTCTTAAGCACTGTAAGGAGATTTGAGCAAAAACCCTTTCAAAATAAATCAGCCCTGTTGATCCCCAGCTCTGAGAGCTGGGGCAACTCATCCCAACACTTGCCTGTGTTTCACTGTGGAACAGGTTGTCTTGCTTCAACTCCTTCATAAAACCAACCCTAACACACATCTACTTGGCCATTCTTGGCAAAAATAGAAATAAAAAACAGCCGGTCCTGGAGCATCGGAGTACTGTAAGGTCAGAGTGCTTTGAGGGTCCAGCTGAGGCAACGGGGACCTCACAGCTGAATGACTGCTTGCTAATGGCATAGTGGAAGGACACCAGGGGCCTAGGAACAAAGTCAAACAAGCATCTGAGTGAGGAAATGTGCCTACCCCACAATGACCTGCCCAGGAAATCAGGAGGCATTTAGGACCACCTTCTTTTTAAAGATTTTATTTATTTATTCATGAGAGACAGAGAGAGAGGCAGAGACACAGGCAGAGGGAGAAGCAGGCTCCATGCAAAAAAGCCTGATGTGGGACTCAATCCCAGGACCCCGGGGTCATGTTCTGAGCCCAAGGCGTCTGGACACTCAACCACTGAGCCACCCAGGCGACCCTAGAACCACCTTTTTTTTTTTTAAATGACCATCCTGACAAGAGCTGTGAAGTATTAAGTAGGTGTATGCTATCCGTGCTTGCATTCGGATCTCCCAACTTAGTGGTGTCAGTAGAACTAATGACTGAGATAGATAAGGTGGCATCCTTCCTGCATGGATCAAGATTCTGTATGAAAGCCAGAATAAAGTGCTGCACACCTGCCACAGTTGAGAAAACATAGTCATAATTCCTAAGATGCTTATCTAAACTTTCTGGTCTTAAATTCTCAAACGGATCAGCTCAGAAAGATTTCAGATATTTGGAAGTTAGAGAAAATCACAAAAACTTCTGCAGGCATATATCATTTCCAAATCTCTTACTCAGGAGAGCATCAAAATTACATTTGCTCTGACTCCTGCATGTGTGATCTGATAAGATCACTGACATATATTAATTGCTGCAAAATGAACCTAAACAATGACCCAGAATGAATAAAGCACTGATTTAAAAATATCCCTCATTCTAACGCTCTATTGTTTAATTAGTTAAATTTAAGAATATAAACATAAACTCTACTTTGACAGGTAATATAAAAACTTGCCAATATTTGGAATTTCCCCTTAGAATTTTAAGCTACCTTATAAACATTATGTTTTCTTCCTTTTTTTTTTCCATAGGAGTAAGACTGTATTTGGACTTTTTTTGACAACATCTCAGCTCAGTAATTCAAAAAAAATCATCTGCTCTATTCAAGATGTTTTATTATACATTATACAGTGTAAAATGATAAATAAGACTTCAGTCTCTATTATCAAAAGATATATTCTATGAAATTTTGTAGGAAAATTACATGTTTGGAAAACACATAATATAGAAAGTTAAATGCTGTAAGAGGGATACAAAAAATTAGAGGAATGAAAAATTTTAAAATTATATTTTCAAAAATCGAAGATTTTATTATTAAGATAATATTGGACAAATATAAGCATTTCAACAGAAATAAAAGGTAAGGCCTTTTCAGAAAAAGAAAACACTTGAAGTAATATTAAAATAGACATAATAGAATGAAGTTCTCTTTGTAGATAGGTTAGGGGCTCAGATTGCCTAAAACAAAGGGTACATGAAGAGAAAGTAGTTGATTAAAATGCAAACGACATAAAAAATAAAAAATAAAACATAAAAAGCAAAGGACAATGGGAGTAAGATCACAGAAGCCTTTAGCCATATTAATCAATATGAAATGTGTTCCATAAGCTGTGGAGAATTATTAAGGTGAATTTTTTACTAATTCATTTTATTACTTTATTTGGCAAGCAACACGTAACATTATGGCATTAGAAAGAATATTACATGATATCTCACCACAGTTAAACTTTCAGGGTACATCATCTTAAAACATTTACAAACATGAGACTATACTAAGAATCATGTTAAGTTACTTGCATTTTAAATTATATATGTATATATATTTAATATATAATGAAATTTCCTGCATAACACACTTTTCATATCTTTCTTTTAAATAACTCCATAAAAGTTTATTTCTTGAGTGTATCCTCATTTATATCATAATTTCTATATTTTACACATTAAATTGCTTTTTTAAAAAAATTATTCATTTATTTACTTGTTTATTTATTTATTTATTTATTTAGAGAGCAAGCACATGAACCAGGGGAGGGTCAGAGGAAGAGGGAGAGAGAACCTCAAACAGACTCCCCTCTGTGCATGAAGCCTGACATGGGGCTTGATCTCCTGACTTTGAGATCATTACCTGAGCCAAAATTAAGAGTCAGATGCCTAAAACTGCCTGAGCCACCCAGCCACCCAACATTAAATTGCTTTTTATCATTATTAAAAATAAGTACAACAACAATATTTATTAACACCTACCATATGTCAGACACTGTTTTAGATGATTTTCATAAAACAGAATAAAATAGACTAATTCTAAGCTCCCACGAGACTGAACTTTTTGTTTTTTGTTTTCATGTATCAATATTTAATTCATCAAGATCTACATACAGGGTTAACAATATGTTGTCATGACACATCATCCTGTGTTGTTTTAAAGTTAATATTCACAGTTATTTCTAGTTGAACCCAATCATAATTATTGCTGTATGGAAAATAGGACCTGACCAATGTAATGGATTTTCTAGCAACAACTTTGCTTCATATGCATTTCTAAGTACTAGTTAAAAAAAAACATTCTTGTCACAAAATCCTGCATTTAAAATTCCCAGATGTCATAATCCCACGTTTCTTACACTTTTATAATAAGCCATTAGGTAAAACTATAATGTCTAAACTGTTGTTTATGTTGTTTATCCTTGATATGTTTTTCCTAGTTTGGAATTTCTGATGCAAACTCTAACCTTTCATCTGATTTTAGCAATGGCATATATACAGTGTGAGAAAATTGCATGTTGACTAAAGAATTAAAAATCACTGAAGACTTCCATTCATTCTCTATTCTGCAGAGTGTGAAACTTCACATGCCTACAAGTTTTTCTACTAATAAAGATTTTTTCCATGCATATTACAATGAATAAGCTCTCCAGCATTAATTTTTGCTATTCTACTAGAGGGACCACCATCTGTAATTGTGTAATTTCCCATTTTAGGGAGGTTAGATTATTCATAGTGAATATTCTTCTGCATCCTACATCCGGAGATCATCTAATGTCTTTTCCTCCTTTATTATAAATATAAGGTTCCTCCAAATGAAGTTCACTCATGTTCTGTAATGATAAATTAGAAATGAAAGCACTTCCATAATGAATATGGCCATAGAATTTCCCCCATTTAGGAGTTCTGGGATTGGTTTGAGCTGTGGCTGAAGGCTCTTCTGTGTTCATTTACTGCATTTAGAGTTGAGTTCTTTCATGTCTTCAAAGGGAAGAGCTTGTAACAAAGGCTTTTCCACATAGAGGACATTTATATGGGTTCTCTCCAGCATGAGTTCTCTCAAGTTCTCTAAGATTAGGGCTCTCAACAAAGGCTTTTCCACATAGAGGACATTTATATGAGTTCTCTCCAGTATGAGTTCTCTCATGTTCTCTAAGGTTAGAAATTGTAACAAAGGCTTTCCCACATAGAGGACATTTATATGGTTTCTCTCCAGTGTGGGTTCTCTCATGTTTTCTAAGACAAGAGCTTGTAACAAAGCCTTTTCCACATAAAGGACATTTATATGGTTTCTCTCCAGTGTGAGTTCTCTCATGTTCTCGAAGACAAGAGCTTGTAACAAAGGCTTTTCCACATAGATGACATTTATATGGTTTCTCTCCAGTGTGAGTTCTCTCATGTTCTCGAAAATTAGAACTTGTAACAAAAGCTTTTTCACATAGAGGACATTTATATGGTTTCTCTCCAGTGTGGGTTCTCTCATGTTCTCTAAGATTGGAGCTTGTAACAAAGGCTTTTCCACATAGGAGACATTTATATGGTTTCTCTCCAGTGTGGGTTCTCTCGTGTTTTTTTAAGACAAGAGCTTGTAATAAAGGCTTTCCCACACAGATGACATTTATATGGTTTCTCTCCAGTGTGGGTTCTCTCATGTTGTCTAAAACAAGAGCTTTGAACAAACGCTTTCCCACATAGATGACATTTATATGGTTTCTCTCCCGTATGGGTTCTCTCATGTTCTCTAAGATTGGAGCTTGTAACAAAGGCTTTTCCATATAGGAGACATTTATATGGTTTCTCTCCAGTGTGAGTTCTCTTGTGTTGTTTAAGATAAGAGCTTTGAACAAAGGCTTTTCCACACAGATGAGATTCATAAAGCTTCTCTCCAGAATGAATATGCTTATGTCTAGTTAAAGATGAAAAATACCTGAAATGACTCCCACACTGATTACAGACAAATGGATTCTCTCCCGTGTGAGTTATTTTATGGGAACGAAGGTGGGAGTTTCGACTGAAGTGTTTTCCACATTCATCACATTTATAGGGTTTCTCTCCCGTGTGAATTCTCTGGTGTATGCAAAGCTTTCTTCTATTATGAAAATATTTCTCACATTCCTTACATTTATAAAGTTTGCCTTCCATATAAGGTTTCTGGTGTCTATATAGGTCATTTCTATGACTGAAAGGGTTTCCACATTCACTCCATTTATAGGGTCTCTGTCCAGTGTGAGTTAAAACAGCCTGAGTCAATGTGTAGGGGTGAGTGAAAACTCCATCATACCCAATATGTGCAAAGGGGTCTTCTCCTGAGTGACATTTCTGTATTATTGTCTTGTAGTTAGATGCATCCTCCCTGCAGATGTCTTCCATAGATATTATTTCTTGTTTTTGATAGCTGTTTTCCAAGCCTGAAATAACTGGCCTTGGGCCAGTCCTCTCTCTTCCTTCCACAGCTCCCCTCCTTGCTCCCACTGGGCAATCATATCTGACTGGAAGAACTGACAGCCTACGGAGACCAGATGAGTGATATTCTCCAGCATTACATCAATGGACAGCTTTCTCTGGGACCTATCCATCAGGGTCCACTCTTCCTGGGTTAAGTATACAGCTTCATCTTTGAAGGTCACAGAGTCTTGTTCTTTAGAGTCTATGAAGGCAGACAGGTCCTGCAGGAGAGCGTGGGACTCCTGAGATGGCTCTTCTGAAGGACAGCCCCAGAGTGATCCCTCTGGCAGCAAGCTCTCCATTCTTAACATTCTTTTTTTTTTTTTTTTTTTTAAGAAGAAACTATTCTTTTTTTTTTTTAATTTTTATTTATTTATGATAGGCACACAGTGAGAGAAAGAGAGAGGCAGAGACACAGGCAGAGGGAGAAGCAGGCTCCATGCACCAGGAGCCCGACGTGGGATTCGATCCAGGGTCTCCAGGATCGCGCCCTGGGCCAAAGGCAGGCGCTAAACCGCTGCGCCACCCAGGGATCCCCATTCTTAACATTCTTAACACGAATTCTCATGGTAGCAGTTCTCTGGATGTTAATCCTGTTTTTCTGCAGTTGCATTCTCAGGAATTCAGCCACCACCTCACCTCCTCTGGATCTCTCCACTCACGGACAGTCCAAGAAGTAAGGAGGAAAAGCTGCGATGGCAGGGAGGCTCCTTTACATTAACTAGAAGTTTACCATGTAATCATTCAATAAACATTTTTTGAGCAACTACTACCTGTTTAATGCTCAGCCTATATGAATACAACAGGGTGAAGAAGAGGCACAGGATTAAATAAACCAGCAAGTTCAGCATGGAGAGACCAAGGAGAGGTGTAAAACAGAACACAATGTGACTGTGCAGAAAGAATATCAATTCCATCTCAGCCAGTTAGGGAAATATGTCCAGTGGAATTAGTATCTATGCTGAAATCTAAATGATGAAATAAATTAGGCAAAAAGCAGAAGAAGAAAGTCTCTGGTAGAGGCAAAAGCTTATATTAATGTCCAGAAATGAAAGATTATATCATGTCTGGAGAAATTTTAAAAAAAATCCGGAATGACCAGAGCATAGAATTTAAGTCAAAGAAAGGAGGGAGGTATAGAGATAAAAAAATGAGGTTAAAGAAGCAAATAGGTGATTATGAGGCACCCACTAAGCCGGTAAATGTGTTTGAATTCTACCAAAAGAGCACAGAAGAGTAAAATGGCTATTTTAAGCAAAGAGCAACCTAAAATTTTCCTTTGGAAAGAAAACTCTGATTGCAATGTGCAAAACAAGAGAGGAGGGCAAGTCTACACTCATGGGAATGAGTTAATAGGCAAAAATGCTCTGTATTCAATTCTGAGTAAGAGTTCAAATAAGTATTAGGCAACTGGAACTCCCTGGCTAACCATTTATTACCCTGTGAATTATCTAGTTAAAACACAGTGTCTTAATTGTTATACTTAATAATTGCACTGTTTATAATTTAAGTTGTTGATTATCTAAGGTTTAACACTCAGAGAATTGACTAAATTGGGCAACTCCTCTCTTGGATGGAAGCAATCACCTTCAATGGAATGCTAACTACCTTGGAGAATTATGTTTAACTCCGACTTTCTTTGCCATAGGCAGAAGTAATTGATTTTAGGCTGGGTGAACTGGTTCTTAATACATATGCCCACAGGGAGAATGTCATTTTAATAAGATGCTTCTACAAGCCACATCCTACTTAAAATAGAAGGTTTTCCCTTTGCTTTTATAAGCAAAAACTGAAGGAGTCCTGTTTGCCCTTAAGTTCATAGTAAACAACTGTGAAGTGATGCAACCCTGAGTTGGCAGTCTACAAAGTCCCTCTTTGCCAATTCAGCTACCTATGTTTTGTTTTGTTTGTAGCTGAAGCTTTCCCAGGAAAATACATCTATGTTTAACATTCTTGAAAACCACTAATTAGTACAGCTAAATCTGCTTGTATTGGCTCTGCAGCAGTTGTTCTCCTGATGTCCTAATCTATTGTTTTGCTCTGCAACCACCATGACACAACTAAAATAAAAGTATTCAAATAATTAGAAATTGTGGAGGGGAGATAATAAAATAAACCACTGCACCTCAAGAGATCAAGACAAAAAAATGGAGAGCCTTCAAAAATAGAAAATAATCAGTTCATTGAAACATTCAAATGTTGATGTTGATTCAGATTTGACCCAATCCTGAGTAGTTCAAGACTACTGAGTTGTAGAGAAAATCGTTTACATGTTTCTTTCAATTCATTATTTATATATCATCTGTTAAAATGTTTAATTTTGGTAAATGTTTTCTAGCTCACATAATACATTAGCATCATTTATATTATATATGATATTAACTATGAATATATCCATGTCATATATGTAGGCCTAAATTATCTATATAACAAAGGTAATTATCATGCAATCATATTTGTTGCCCATTGTTCTTACATCTAATTTACCAAAATGCCACACATAGCCTACTTTTAGGCATTTACATAAAATTAAACATTTCTGTTTAAAAAAAACAGTTACTTTAAACTTTTCAAGTTATGTTTGGTATTATAGTCCTTCAACAATAACTTTCACAAACTTCATCACAAACCACTGGTGGTAACCTGGCTTATTTTATATAATGCACAGATGGACTTTTACAACTATTTTATTAGTTGTGTATTTATTCTAATGTCAGTTAGAAAAATTGCACACAAATTCCACGGACATCAATGTGTTGGGATACGAGGACTTGGCTGCCACCCTCAAGGACAAACTATCCTGGACATGGGATAGCCTGACCTCATCATGATCTACAAGCATCACTATCCCTAATTCCCTCCTGGAACATAGGGAATTACTACTCAGAAGTACTACTCAGTACTCAGAAGCCAAGATCTCGCTGTCACCCAAATCTGCATCTTCCCAACATCCCCAGAGGTGTGGGCAGAGAGCTGGACCTCTGGAACCATCTCCCATGCTTCACCTCAAGAATCACTGGGACCTCCCAGAACACCCTGACCCATTTCCACCATCATCCTACTCAGATTCTAACATGTACAAATAGCCATGCATCCACAAGCAGAGAGAATCCATGGAAGGCAGCTCTCAGAGCAAGCCTTTCATTGAGGATCTTATCATCAAGTCATCCAAGTTCCCCATAACCTAGTCCCTGACTTCGACCCACCCACCAAGATTGAAACTGATTATTGGTCATGCCCTCTGTCACGGGTCATTGCAGAGACAGAAAGACAGAAGCAGAAGGAGCACAGAAAAAGGCAGAAGAAGAGGATAAATCCAGAAAAGAGATGAAAACTCCCAGGAAGAGTCAGAAAAAGGAACTTGGTAAGGAGACTTTCTAACGTAGGAAAGATAATCTTCAAGAAAGAGATGGAAGAGTCATCGCCTACATGAGGAAAACTCAGTCCCTACTGCATCAGACACCCTTTGAAACCTCCCTGCATTCTAGGTCACCTAAGTGTTCTCTCCCTGACTGAGGCAAGACCACGCTGAGCTGGCTACAGTCCACAGATTTAAGCCCGTGGGGAGTGAGATTGGAAGGCCAGGCCTGTAGATCTGTCATTATGAAATGCTGGTAGCAACCAACTAAGGTAAACCGAGTTTCCTCCAGATGTGGATGAGATGAGGTTTGAGATGTGTCTGTCAAGTGAGGATTTATCAGAGGTATTTTCCACATCTCCTGAATATTAACAAACTGGCTCTGTTAAAGCAGAACAAACTCAAGATAAAGTATTATCTTTTCTGCTTGTCCCCACCATCACTCTCCATGACTGGTGCTCATCCTCACTGCTTCAGGGCTCTGGAGCTGGGATCACTGATCCCAAGTCTTCCTTTTCCTACAGTGAGCAGGGAGTGATCATCTCTCGGGGGAGCAGGGAGGTGGGACAGAGCTGGATTTGGCTCCATTCCTCAAGTGGAGAGGCAGCCAAGAACTTTGCAGCCCTGGGGTTGTGAGACATGGACTTTCTCCCCCATAATGAGGGGGTAGGGGTGCTCTTTCTCATCCCTGGCACTCAATGCACAAGGCAAACCCAGTCTGGGCACAAAGTTATGGTTTTGCCCACACCCACAGGAAGAGGAGCAATTAAGAAAAAATGAACATGGCTCCTAGTGGTCAGTCCTGTCAGGTTTGTTGACCATTAGGTGAGTAGAACCCTTGTCCCTGATTGGTGAGTGTGAGAAGCAGCCAAGCAGGCAAAGAAACTCCAAGACCCTGTGTGCCAAGCTCTTATCCTCATCTCCACTTTTATAGCTTGCCCTACACCTGGGCTTCTACTCTTCTGACTCCAGCAGAAGGAGGCTCCAGCTCAAGGAGATCTCTAGCAGGGAGGCTGCCCTGATCTCTAGTTTACCCTCCTTTACTTGCCACCCTCAAGAATGGAAGTCTCTTGCTCCAGTACTGACTTCCTCAGAAGCCTTGGTTTAAGTTGGAGATGTCGTCTATACAAAACCCCAGACTACCGTCAGACTCAAGGCCAAGTCAACTTGAACTCTACATTCTAGAACCAACTCAGGTCCTGGGCAGAACCCAAGCCTTCACACTTCTTTGGAGGAGATTAAGAGAAACAGTTACAAGGACATTTCTCAGCATCTTGGCTACCAAGCCCCACTCATATACATGCGTCCTCCAACATACTCTTTAAAGAATGGCAATTTATTGGAGCACTCCCCCCTTGTTTTCCTCACCTATCTCTCTGCCCAACCTAAATCACACTGTCATTGTTTCATTCTCTACAAATATATATGTGAATATAATTTGACATTTCATATATATATACATTTCATATATATACATTTCATATATATACACATTTTATTTATTTATTTATTTATTTATTTACAAATACAGGAATATCTGGGTCTCAGTTTTGTTCTTGCCCAGACA